CGCACCCGCACCCGCACCCGGAACACCAGCACGAGCACCACCACACTCATTACAACTCGCGCGCGATGGAGGCGAGGACGCGGCAAGAGGAGCCACTGATCGCCCGTGGCGTGTTTGCTCTGGGTTCTGAGGGCGAGAGTGAAGACGGGGGGAATGAGGTGAAGGACGACGGCTGCAGCGACGGTAGTTACGGCAATCTCGAGGAGGAGGAGATCCCCACTACCCAGATGGTGAAGGCGTGGAACGCGGAGGTGATTCCACCGGAGCGGATGGGTCACGCCATGGTCTCCTCCGCAGGATTTGTGGATGCGCGTGAGCGGCTAAGTTTGTTGGACGCACGACTGGCGGAGGCCGCGCGTGAGCGTGAGTCCCGTCGCCGGCGTGGAAAACAGCGCCCTGTAGATTTTCGTGCTGCAACGCGCGGTGGCACCAGACGGAAGGGTGGCGCAGTGCTGCCCCGCAGTCTCCTGCCTGACACCGTGTCGAGAGATGAGGCGCACCGGAAGGAACCGAAGCGCATGATCGACTACAAGCTGCGCAACGAGAAGATTGAAATGCTACGCTGTCTGCGTTTTATTGATGACCTGCAGAAGGAAGTTCGCCGAAACATGGTGCAACGGCACAGCGATGCGACGCGGCAACTCCGCGAAGACATGAGGCATGCGCTGCAGCGGGACCGGCAGGAGAAAATGGAGCACCAGCGACTCATAAAGGAGGAGGACCAAAAGTACCGGAATGCCTACGCTGCCATCATGACTGCTGCCTGCAACGATCGTCGCATCGCGAAGGACCTCATGCTGGAGCGTACCCGGCAACTGGCGGAGTACCAGTCGCTCTCGCTGCGGGAGAGCCGCCGCATGTGCCACTACATGAAGCAGGAGAGCAAAGAGCGGATGCGGCACGATCTTCTTCACTACGTGAGCACCATCACAGGGTGGCAATCGCATTTTGTCAGTTAGAGCTGCGTGACCAAAGCAGCACCGAGGATAAATGCAATGTGAGATAAAAAAGAAGCGAAAAAGGGGGAAAAAAAAAGAAATAGAAGGAGAACATGAGTCTTTTTTTTTGTTGTTTTTTTTTTTCATTCTCTCATTCTTTCTTTTGAGAGTGTGCGGGCGTAGAAGTAAGCGGTTGGGTGCGTATGCCCCTTGCTGCGGCGAGGGGAGGGGCTTGCTAGTAATGGCGGGGAGCCGCACCGGTGCTTCGTCTGCCGTTCACATGAGAAACGAAACAACAGAAAAGAATTGTACATTGTATTCATTTGTCTACATTTTTGTGTATTGCAAACGCTCTCTTGTCTTGGTCCATTGTATCATGCCCGTAGACGGGGAGGAGGACGACCCATTTTAAACTCTTGTCGGTGTTGGGGGTGGCGGCATTGATGGGGTCGGGGTGAGTGGAGGGGGAGAGAGTGAGTGCAACAACATTAGCAACAAGGGCAGTGAGAGTGAAAGCGAGAGAAAGAGAGAGTGAGGCGCGCGTGCGCGCTTATGGGGGCGAGGAATATTCGAAAAGAAAAGCTCATGGAATTATGTACCACCGCTGTTTCACTTCCCTTTGTTTGTCTCGTACGCTGCGCAGATCCCAGGTAGGGACGAGGGCTGTGGGGTCATTGCGGCCAGCCCGCACACACACACACACACACATCGGCCGCCATCTTTAGTGCAGCACGTTCCCCGCGTGCAGCACTCCGGGTCTCCCGCGGAATGGCTGCCCCGACGCGAGAGCGACGCGAATGCCGAGAGCCGCACACATTCTTTGATAGCAGCTACCTGGAGGCGTGCACGACACCACGGCTAAACAACCTCACGCAGCATGGCCGCCACGATAGAAATCCTGATACCACTGCCGCGTCTTCTGCAGTCTTTAATCGCTTCAGTAGTGTGAGCCCACATCAGGCTGGCATCTCGTACGAGAGCACCAGCACTGCTGGCGCTGGTTACTTTCCCCCACCGCCACCGCCACCGCCACCGCCACCGTTCTTTGTTAGCGGCGCCTCATTGAATCCCTCTTTTGCTGACTGGCCGGCACCACCCATTCCACCGGCAACGTGGGCGGTGCCGCAGGACGTGCCGTGGATTCCACCACCACCCATACCGCCCAACGGCACCAACGCAGCATGCGGGATCAACGACAGCAACAGTAATTGTGCTACGGCAAGATGGCCCACGCCGCAGGACATTCCGCTGCCTTCGATGTTTCCATTCCCTCCTTATCTGCTGCCGCCGTTCCCGCCGCTGCCCCCTAATGCGGACATGAGTCAAATGCCACCCCCACCCCCACCGTCGTGGTTTGTGCTGCCCCCAAAGCAGCCGCAACAGCAGCGGGTGAACGAGGACGTAGAGGACTACGGTCCGTCAAGCACCGGGGACGGTAGCGTGGAGGACGCTGGCCCGCAACGGAGACCAGGGCAGGCACGATGCAGCACAGGCCGCACACGGGCGCCCTCTATATCCACACAGGAGGAGGAACACGTGCGGCATATTGCTCATGAGGCCAGACGGGAACTACATCGTAGACTCTCTCGCAGCCCGAGTAGGGACTCCCATCAGAACTTTGGAGGTACATGGCAGCGGAAACCTCGGAATCCGACACCACGCAACGGACGTGCTGCACCGTCGCCAGCAAGACGGTTCAGCTCGCCCTCCACCACTCGACGCACCACTGGGACTCCACGCGGCGCTACTAGTACTGCTGGTATATTGCCGAACCATCGGCGGAGGGATTACTACACAGAAGCCCGTGCAGTGAAGGGAGTGTCGCCGTGCTTGGAAGAAGTGATGAGCAAGCGAGCGTACTCTCCGAAGGTGCGGGTGAAAAGTGCTTCTCGGGACGAGAAGAGTTACAGCCAAGCCCGTACGGGTGCGGGTAAAAGGCGTAACAGCACACAGCTGTCATATACAAGTGGCGTTGGGGACATTCACCATGCTCTGAATCGAGAGGCAGCAAAGAAGGACGAGAAGGTGGCGGAATATTTAAAGGGCATTGAGGATCTTTATCAGCGCCTACGCAATAGCTACGAGGAATTTCAGCGGGACCCGTCGAGTTTTGTAAAGAACGCTTCCGCGCTGAAAGAGGCAGCAGTTTCCAAGGCCCCACCGTTGCGTAGTATTCTTGATGATACAGGAATACCAATAAGAAAACATGGCAACGATGCAGATGAAAGGACAGTCACAAAGGAGCTTCTTCTTCCATCAGAAGAATCCCAGAGGATACGGGAGGAACTACTCAGGTTGGAGATGCAGTGGCAGCGACTGGAGGAGTTGAAGCAGGGCTCAACAGGGGAAAGGGGTGCCGCTCCGGTAGAATATATGCCAGAGAGCGTAGCGGTTCCACCATTACCACAGAGACATGGTGATGGGATGACTGAGCCTAGTGGTGGTGGCTTCGCGAGTGAGCGAGCGGCGGATATGAGTACATCACGACAAGAGACCGGCCTGCAAAGAACCCCTACTGTGGCCAGATCAACAAATGGTAAAACGGTAACAATGGACTCATTGTCGCGTAGCATGACGCCGCCCTCGGCTAGTGGCCAATCCAAAAGCCGAAATCTTGATGGAAGTCAGATGAATAACCATAGTCGAGGCGGCAACAGCACGGGTGCCCGTGGGCCATTCACCCGCGAGCATGTTCTAGGGCTGGTACGAGAGCGCAAGGCTTTGCTGGAATAGACACATGCGTGGGATTCGCCACGGGTTTTTTTGTTTGATTGTTATCGGATCTCACCTTAGATATTCATGCTGAATGGATGCTCTTTTGTTATGTATCGTTGTATTATTTTTTTTTTTTTTCGTTTCTTCATACTTCTCGTGTATGCTGTGGGGATGCATCTTCATGCCACAGCTGCAGTCGTCCTTGTGGGTACACCGCCGCTTCAGTGTACGTTTTTTTTTTCCCTGATTTTTTTTTCTTGTTTCTTGTTTTTTTTTTTTTCTCCTGGTTATAATAATAATAATAATAACTTTTTTTTGTCTTGTGTTCTTGTAGTGTGCTGTTCTTCAGCAGCGATCATTGATAGGGACAGCAAAGACAAATGGAGCGGCGAAACAATACTTCCACCGCTACTGTTGATGCTACTGAGGATCACTCCTCGATGGGGTGGCAAGCCGCCTATCCTTCACACTCGGATGGGGGAGCCTTTCAGCCAGCGAGCCTCCAGAATTATGGCATTTGCGGTGCGACGACACTACTGTCTGCGATAGACAAGAGGAAAGCATCCAACGCGTCATTCTCTCTCTTCGATCTTGGCGAGAATGGTGCTGATGAGGTGCATCTCAATAGCTGCTCCCCACTTGCTGCTCTAACCTCAGCATTGGAGAACGTTGAACATGCTTCGGAACAGATGTTGGATTTACTGAACTGTTCGTCTTCGTGGGGCCCATCTGTATGCTGCAGGGTGACAGTCCCATCGTGGGACACTCCCGGGGCGGCGGAATGCATACAACGCGAACTTCGTCTCGCAACATTCCTGTGCCTCCGTGCGGTGGTAGTGCCTCTTCCGGAATGCGGTGACGACGGCAAGGACGAGACAGCCGCGTTTGCAGCGTCTGTTGCTGTTCTCGGGGCGCACCTGCGTCAGACCCAAATAACACATATCTGGGTGGACTGTGACGCGACGTGTCAGTCGCACCGAGTCGCCTACTCCCGTCTCCGCACGGTTCTTCTTTGGGGTGGTGCTCCGCCCGCCGCAGTGGGCGCGCCGAGTTCTGTGTCCCGCGAAGTTGTCCACAGGGTTGCACCATACTTGCACTTCTCCCAAACTTTTGGCGCTCTCCCGTCGGAGTGGCTCGGAGAGCCGATTATTGCCTTTGAGGTTCCCAGTGTGGACAAGCTGTTGCGCGCGCTGCGGCCCGGCGCGAAAGGGTTTCAGAGCGTGCAGCTGCCGAGCGACGTGATGCCCTTTGTTGCTTCTTATTGGGCAGCCGCGCAGCCCCCTTTTTTGTCTTTGGGGGCGTTCGTGGTGGAGTTGCTGCGGCGACGCGCAGCACCCGTTTTTCCTGCTAACTACTTTTTGGAATCCTACGCACTGGTAAACCAACTCTGCGAGAGGTGCGTGGTGGACAATGGGAAGGACTTCTTTGCAGCTTTTGAGGACGTCCTAGAGTTGCCATTACAACCTCTGGGCCACATGCTGCCTAGCGGTGCCTACGAGGTGTTTGAACAGGATCGCAAAAAGTACCAGCAGTACTATGTGGCGATGCGCAGCTACTTTCGCGAGTGGCTGACGCACCGCGAGGAATGGAGTCATTGGCGAATGTGGTGTCGATGCCACGATGGTGCGGAATCCGGTGCAACGGAGGATGCGGTTTACGTTGTTCTTCTTGGGGCAGGTCGTGGCCCTCTTATTGGAGAGTGTCTTGCTGCTGCAACGGATGTTGGTGTGCGTGTTCACCTTTTCGCAGTAGAAAAAAACCCGGAGGCGGTAGAATTCGTTCGACTGCGGCTCCGCGCCGACCAACAGTGGCGTCAGTGGATGCATTGCTGTGGGCACGTTGTGGAGACAATCCACGCGGACGGTCGCAGTGTGACTATGTCCAATGGNCCGCTGCCACCACGGTGGGGCTTGTGCGATCTTGTTGTGTCAGAGCTGCTGGGGAGCTTTGGTGACAACGAGCTGAGCCCGGAGTGCATTGATGGCTTCTATGCAGACCTGCAGTGCCACCAGACGTCGGCGGGGCTGCCGTCAAACCCACACGTGGTATCCATTCCTATGCACTACACTGCGTGGATCGCACCGCTGCACTCGGGGTGGATGGAGGAAGCCGTTGCCGATGCCGCTGTGTCAGGCCTCTCAGTGCTGCCGCCGTGGTGTCGCGACGGACGTGCGTCGTTGTTTCATTCTATGTTTGTTAGCAACCTTTGCCGTGCCGTTGCGCTGTCACCACCGCAAGCCTGTTGGACGTTTCATCACTTCTCAGAAGGGGAGCAGCGAAAGGAACGAGACGTCACACTCAATTTTAGCGTTGACAGCAGCGGACGCTGCTGCGGATTTGTTGGATATTTCAGCGCCCTGTTGTACGAACTCAACGACGCCACAAGGGGCGGGGACAATGCAGGGGTTGGCAAAGCCCCTATCGCTCTCTCGACTCTCCCGGATGGACGAACAGAGGGAATGTTCAGCTGGTTTCCATGTGTGTTTGCCGTGGAGCCACGCGATGTGATGGAGGTGCGGGCGGGTTCAACATTACAGCTCCGCCTGCGGCGCTGTGTCAATAAGGGGGATCTGCGTGTGTGGTACAGCTACGATGCCGCAGTGCTACAGGGCGCCGAAGAGGGGGTGAAGACTGAAACAGCAGCGATTAATGAAGGTGGATGGGCGGCCTCTGTTCTTTTGTCGTCGTAAGGATTGGGAAATGTGTGTGTGTGTGTGTTTTCTCAATGCCTGAGTTAAAGTGTTATAAGTGTGTTATACCTCTATTAATGGGCATTTGCTTTTTTTTTGTTGGTAATCACAACTTCCATTCACAGGATTAGTGTGTGTCTATCTGTGCCTGTTCTCGGCTGTTTTTTTTTTGCTTTTGTTACGTTTGGCCTCGGCGCTTCACAATCGACTTTTTTGTTGCTTCTCACTGCTGTAAGGACGTGGGCGGGACAAGCACAAATAGAGAAACGGACGCGGGAGCTATTCTTCGTGTCAGGTGTTTCTAGCGGAGGGGGGTGATAGCAGCAGCAGCAGCAGCAGCAGCAGCAGCTCCTTCACATACTCTCACAGCTTGGCGTGGGAGAAGTAGTAGTGTTTGTTGTTGCTGTTGATATCATCGTCGTACAGAAGTCAGTACTCTCGCACTGAGCATAGGTGTACACACACACACAGAGAGAGAGAGAGAGGGAGGTATATATATATATATATATAGAGAGAGAGAGAGAGAGAGAAAGATGCCACGACACTACACCCCGCGGGAGGTCCGCGCGCACTGCTTCGAGGATGACGCGTTTGTGTCAGCCAACGGCAAGGTGCTAGACATCACCCCGCTCATTCAGCAGTACCAGGGCACACGCTACGCCAGCCTCGTGCAGCCGCTCATCCGCGCCGCCGGTGCTGACATCTCGCATTGGTTCGACAAGACGACGATGGACCTCAAGACGTGCATCGACCCCGAGACGGGCTTCCGCACATATGCGCAGCCGTTCGGCCGCTTCGCACACATCCCGACCGTTCTCCCCGATAGCAGCATCGACCTCAGCTACGACGTGCCGTGGTGGCAGGACGAGAAGTACGCCATTGGAAGTCTTACCCGCAAGACGCGCAAGATCCGCATCGTCAACACGCTCAACGGGCACGAGCACACACTGGAGGTCTGTGCGGAGGAGACGCTGCACGAGATTGTCATGACGCGGTTTCTCTCAATTAACGCCCACGCGCTGAGTTACACGTGGCGCCGCCACGACCCGGAGGGTCGCGACCTCGACATGAGCAAGACGCTTGACGAGAACGGCGTCGTTGACGAGTCGGAGGAGTTTGAGTCGCTGGGCTTGAACGCCGACTTCTACATCCCAACGCTGCACCTCTACTACGACGACGACCTGACTGAGGCGTAGCCGCGCGCGACCATGAAGCAAGAGTGCCCATGAAACTGCGAGACTCTGAGGAGGAGGAGAAGAAGAGAGGTGGGGGCTTGGGCAGTCAAGCAATACAGGGGAGATAAAGAAAGCGAAGAGAATTCAGAATGATGGCGCCGTGGATGATAGAAGGGCAAAGGGGAGAAGCTGAGGCAAACCCCACAGAAACTCCTCTCGCCTTTCCTTTATTGATGTAAAGAGCACACTGGTGCGGTTTGGCATCAGTCGTCCAATGTGAGCTGCGATGGCGACATGAAAAGATAAACCCTCCCTTTGTTTCTGCTCCATTTGTTGCCTTTTATTTATTACTATTCTGCTTTCTGTCTGTGTGTGTGTGGCGGCGACGTATTTTACTTTATTTCTTTCGCTCCTTTTACTCCGCTTCTCTTGGGCGTTTTGATGCGCTGTCCCGCGTACACCGGGCTTGTGATGGTGTGCCGGTGTGTGTGTGTGTGTGTGTGTGCGAGGCGTGTGGCATTACGAAGACTCAAATACTGAGGAAGGGATGTTTCGGGCCTCACTGTGTCTGCGTCGGGCCCTCGATGAGGCCCTCACAAAGGTGCAGAAGGTGTGGAATATGGACTTTGCTGGCACACCAACGACGAAAGACCTCATGTTTTACGAGAAACCAGCGTCGTCCACGCCCCTCTACCACGTGGTGGACCTTGACGGCACAGTTGTTAGCCCGACTGGTGAGCCGGAGGTGCCGAAGGAAGTGTTGGTGAAAATGATGGAGACGATGCTGCGGCAACACACGATTGATGCCATGTTGATGAAGGCGCAGCGGCAGGGCCGCATTGCATTTTACTTGACGTGCTTTGGCGAGGAAGCCGCAGTCGTTGGCGCCGCAGCTGCGCTACAGATCTGTGACGAGGTCTTCCTGCAGTATCGTGAGGCCGCCCTCCTAACGTACCGTGGCTATACTATTCAAGAGATGGTGGCGCAGTGTATTGGCAACGTTGAGAACGAGATGAAAGGGCGCCAGATGCCTATTCACTACGGCTCACGCAAGCTGAATGTGCACATGATTAGCTCACCTCTGGCAACACACGTCCCGCACGGGACAGGCGCTGGCTATGCCTTTCGTCTTGAGAACGAGCAGCAGAAGGATGCCAGCAAAAAGCGCATCGCCGCAGTGTTCTGTGGTGAGGGTGCCACAAGCGAGGGGGACTTCTATGCCGGTCTCAACTTCGCTGCGGCGATGGGCTCGAACACGCNGTTCTGTGGTGAGGGTGCCACAAGCGAGGGGGACTTCTATGCCGGTCTCAACTTCGCTGCGGCGATGGGCTCGAACACGCTTTATGTCGTGCGCAACAACGGGTACGCCATCTCCACCCCCACGCGATCGCAGTACTGTGGCGATGGCGTTCTTGCACACGGCACAAGTTGCGGTATCCCCTCCGCACGTGTGGACGGCCACGACGTGTTGGCGGTGATACAGACAGTGCGCCGCGCCCGTGACATAATTCTCACCACGAACCGGCCTGTGCTTGTGGAGGCCATGACGTACCGCGTCTCGCACCACTCCTCTTCCGACGACAGCTTGGCGTACCGGTCCCGGGACGAAGTGGAATACTTCGCCAAGACGCTTTCGCCTATCGCCCGTTTTGAGAAGTACATGATGAAGAAGGCACTGTGGAGCCCTGCGCAGTCGGAGGCGTTGGTGCAGCAGGTGCGGCAGGAGGTGCTCGAGGAGCTGCGGCGGCAGGAGAAGCTGCCCATGTGGCCGCTAGAGACGCTGCACGACGATGTCTACAAGATCATGACACCGGAGTTGCGAGAGGCGCAGCGTGAGTTGGAGGAACACTACGCGCGCAACAGCGAGTTGTACAAGGAGTGAAAAAGGCGAGATGTTAAACAACCGATAGCGAGCGATATGACGTTTTTGCGCTTGTGTTGTTTCCTTGTGGCTTTTTTTTGTCTGTTTTCGTTTGTTTGATGTCTCTGTGTTCGCATTGCGAGTTCTGATAAAACGGAGGATGCGATGCCAAGGCGGGGTGCGCATGTGGAGTCCGTCGCTTTATGTGCCGCTGGTTGTGTCGCAGTCTCCTCTGCGCGAGGAAAAAGGCGCCCGCCGTCCCGGGTGACGAGCGACAAGATTCAGGGCGCAGCACCAAGACAAACGAAGGAACATGGAGGATGATGATGGTGAGGGAGAAGAGGGGCCAGGCGAAGTGGCGCTCCACAGAGGCATCATTTCAGGTCTGTGGTTGCCATGAGAGGCGGCAGCAGAGATGCACACTTGGTACACTCTCCTTCTTTTCTTTTGGTTTGCTACTGGTGGTGCGTCGTGGTGCTTGATTGCGGTGTGGTCCGGCGGCTCCCCGCATCTGTGCTATATATATATATATATATATAATACACCCACGTACAGAGTCAAGATAATAACACTTTATGCATGTCACAACGCTACCGCGGCCGGTCGTATCAGGCAGTTCTGCGCAAACTGCCGCGGAACCTCGTAGGGTTCGACGGGCACTGTCTCATGTGCCAAGCCCGGGTGCAGTACGTACTGGAGCGCAACTTCTCCTTCTTTAGCATCCTTAGTTTTTCGCGCGACATTGATCCGGTGAGGTTGGAGGCCAACAAAGTGCTCTTCTGCAGCTTCGATTCGGTCGAGTGGCGCGAGGTGCGGCGCTGGTTCCCACACCTCACGCAGGACGCGGAGGGTATCGTGCTGGTGGAGAAGGTTCCCTCCAAGACAGCCACCTTCTTGAGCAGCGTGCGGCGGAGACAGCGGAAGCAGTACTTAGGTGCAGCTGATAGCGGCAGAAACGGAAGGGATATGTTTCCACTCGATCCCTCCTCTGGTGCCTCAAGAGACTCTGGGGTCGGTGCGGCCGAGGACCTCGATATTGTTGTTTCGGTCAGGTACGTGGCAGTCTGCCGTGTGGGGATGAAGCTTGATCGGTGGCTACCACGCACTATATGCCGCTTTCTGTACTACGCGGTGCCGCAGTGGGTTGGTGACCGCTGGTATGACCGCGTTGTGGCGCGGAGGCGGCTTTGGGGTACGTCGGAGGAGGATGCGGTGCGGTACCCGAAGCGCGTGCTCGGATTGAAGGAGCGCACATGGCGGCTTCGCGACAAGTAGAGTGGCGAGCTCCGCACGCTGAGGTGTGCCATTTTCACAGTGGAAGATTGGTTATAATGTTTGTTGTTGTTGCTGATGGGGATGGGGATGATTATTCTCTGGAGAATCCGATGCTGCCTGGTTGGCGGTGATTCTTGTGTTCACCCTTCACCTTCGCTGCTGCGTCTTTGTGTAGGGCGGGGTGAAGTTGCAGAAGTGTAGGGTTTCGCCAAATAGCAACGCAATTCGAGTGAGTGGCAGCAAGAACAGCAACATTGGCATCCACGGAGTGTGTGGAAGAGGGAGGTGAACCGCGGCTTTNGGCAGCAAGAACAGCAACATTGGCATCCACGGAGTGTGTGGAAGAGGGAGGTGAACCGCGGCTTTGTTTTTTTTTTTTGTTGTTGTTGGTTTTGTTGTCGTATCGTACATGAACCGAGTGCTTCTTGTTTCTGCGCCCCGCCTGCGACGGTCACCGGCCACGTTGTTTGAGCAGCGGTGCTGTTTTACGTCCTTTGTGGACCGCTTCAGTACCACCCTGGCGCAGCGGCTGACGTCGCTTGCGGACAAGCAAATGATGCCGCTCAGCGAGCAGCGCATCACTGAGCGACGACGGCCGTACCCGCGGCGTCCCTCCATGCAGGAGAACTTGGCGGAGCGGCTCGATGCGCAGCAGCGCCTCCGCGCACACCTTGTGCCCTCGCAGGTCATCGTGTCGAAGGACAGGCAGTACCTCGATCTCGTGTGGCCCGCTACCGCTCTTAATGCGGCGGAGCAGCAGCAGCAGCGGGTGGGGGAAGCTGCGGGCGGTGAGGCAAGAGTCAAACGGCGTGCGGACGAGCACCGCACGCGTCTTCTCGCGGAGTTTCTTCGTGCGTACTCGCCGAGCACCGACGTGATTGGAGCCGACGCGCTCGTCTACGGGCGCCGCGGTATCATCATTACAGATGTAATTCCTGTTGGGAACTACGCGCTCCGTATCGTATTCTCCGATGGGCACTCCGGTGGTATTTACCCGTACGAGTACTTGCTCGACCTTGGCCGCCACAAGTACGCGCGGATGCGGGAATATATTCGTCGTCTGAGGGCTAAACGCAAGTCGAGAGATCCGCCGAGGCGTGCACCGTCGCGGCGGCTCCAGCGCGGTCAAAACACATCAACAGGAAGAAGGACGGTGAAGGCGGGGGACGGGAGCAGCAGGAGCAACGGCGACGGGCACCATGGCCCAGCGGCAGCAAAGTAAAACCGAGTGGACAACGAAGAAGATACACACAGCAAAAAAAAAAAAACACAGATGAAATATGAGAGAGTGTGTGACCGATGTGTTGCGGTAGCGTCATAAACAATATCACCACCACCATCACAAACAACACCCTTTTTCTTTTTCTTAACATTCTCTTCTTTTTTTGGCACGGATATCCTGTCGTTCACTCTTTCCTCTGTGGAAGAGAAAGAGAGAGACCGGCATCTGCAAACTCACAGAGGGAATAAGAAGCGAATTTCATATTGGCGTTGATAATAACACACACGGACCTTCGGCTGCACATGGAGGGGCTACCCACGCTTGTTGTGGCGTTTCTTGAGCGATGCAGCTCCTGTGTGTACACATTAGTGCAGTTGGGCGGTATCGTCGTCTTTGCCTTTGGTCTGTCGTTGATTGTGTTCTGTACATTGACGTTTGTCCGAATTGCCCTCCCGCTGATGGCGACGCCGGGATCGCTTTACTTTCTGATCTTCTGGGCAGCCTCTAGCGCATTATCTTTCTGCATTCTCTTCAACTACGTGGCGGCTGCATTGTTCCGCAGCCCCGCTGTGAGCGCGGCGGAGACCCGGCGTCTTGCTCTTGAGGGTGAGGCGCTGCCACTGCGGCAACAGCGCCGTCTGTTGGAGGCGCCTTCCCGTTTCTGTGTCCTGTGCGACCGCTACAAAGCGCCGCGCGAGCATCACTGTCGTGTGTGCAAGCGGTGCGTGACGAAGATGGATCACCACTGCCCATGGATTAACAACTGCGTTGATGCCGAGAATCACCGCTTTTTTTTCCTCTTTCTTGTCTACCTCCTGCTGGGCGCCGGCCTCGCCACCGTGTGTCTGGGCGTTTCGAATGTGTGCTCGTTGTGGAGCGAGGCAGGGGTGCTTGACTCCTATGATCTCTATCGCAACCGCTTTACGAGCTTTCCGGTGATTTTCACACTTTTTTTGTGCAGCGCCATCTCTGTGTGCATGATATTTTTTGTTGGATGGACGGGGCTGCACATTTTGCGAAACGAAACTCAAATTGAGAGGTTTATCGTGCAGCAGAAGGAGCACCTCACGCGCAACAGCATGGCTCCCTTCCGCAACCCGTATGACCTCGGGCGGTGGCGCAATATTCTAGAGGTTTTCGCGACGAAAGGGGATCCGCTAATCCACCGCGTCGACAGGGGGGGACTTGTATCGAACGCTGTGCTCGCATTGTGGCTGCTTCTGCCCACACTTCGACCCGCCAAGTGTGATGGCTTGCACTACCAAACATTTGACGATGAGGTGATGCAGTTGGTATAGCAAGGTGAGCGGTGCGAAAATGTTTGCTATATATATATATATATCTCTACTGTAATACCCATGATCTTTTAAAGGTTTTCATCATGTTCTTTGTAGCCCCGCCACTATGATTGCTGTGTCTATTTTTTTTTTCATTTTGTAACGTTTGAAATGCCGTGGGATATCGATTAGGCGAGACAAATAAGAGCGATGTTGCCATGGATGATGATATCAAGCACCGTGGTGTTCGCCGCTCTGCTTCTTATCACAGCATTGCCGCCACTGTATATTTACGATCCCGAGAAGTACCCCGATGAGCCCATGGGACCACCAACTGCGGGAGGTATATTCCCCGATAGCGCAATGAGCCACTCTGTGCGACAGAAGTTATATATATTGTTTGTGCTACCAACCTGTGCATTTCTGAATGCGCTGTACCTGTATTTGGCATACTACCGCCACCTGCGATGCATACAGTTCCGTGTGGAGCTCAGTTTGGTGGCGCATGCAAATTTTTTGATGGCTTCCCGCATTATCATTCAGGAACACACTCGGATGCAGGATTCAACGTCACTCATCGAAAGTGGAGGTTATCTTCGAACCACATCGCTGATGAATCGTAGCTTTTTCATGAAGGGCGAGAACACCGAAGAGATGTCAGCCCCGCACTCTATTTTCAACAAGTTGTGCCGCCACGCGAGACCCGATAATATCTCGCTGCACAGTTACTCCACCTCGCCCTGGCATCCAGAGCTGCAGGAGCTGCAAGGTGTCGTCTTCACTCAATTTCTCCGTCGTGCGGACGTCGCCCGCACGACTGCGCTGAATGCATTACAGCAGCATGTATTGATGGATGTCGATCACGAAAACAATCTCCAGGACAGGAGCATGCATGACGCCTTGGTGCACATCCTGGAGAAGCACTCAACGTTTATAAATGAGGCAGCTATGAGGACGTACCTTGCACAAGTACAGATGACTAGAAGGTGCGAAAATTAGATCGCAGATATGAGAATGACGTAGCGAAAGGCTTAGCCTTTTGTATAAGAGGAAAAAAAAAAAAAGAGTTGTAATGTTGCGTAGTGGCCTAGTGGTCTTCCTCCTCTTTGATTTTTGGAGATGAGGGCCGGGTGCTTTGGAAGGCGTGGGGGCACGCGTGTCTGTACCAGTACTCTTTCTCTCCCGTGGGTCCGTTTCTCTGCGGCAGTGCGTATGATGTTGAAGACCCACTTTGCGGCTTTTGATATAATTTTTTTTGTTGTTTTTTCTCTTTCTCTCTCACTCTCCGCCTATCTATTCTTGATTTTGTCAAATAAAGCCTTTGAAACCCGAAAGGGAACCGGGCGTGCGAGAGGACGTCTGGTCGGCAACGGGTGTGCGGTTGGAAACGTCGGGGCTGACCCTGCGGCGTTTGGTGTTGCCACTGCCGGTGCTGCAAACAAGAGCGGCAACGACGCACAGAATAATAATAATAATAACAACAACAAAAAAATAGTTTTTCGTTTTTGCGCCAATGAGCGGCATTCAAGCCTTTCTCTCAGCGATTGTGGAGGCGCTTATTCTTGCCTTCTCGTGCGTTCTACTGTTTGTTCCACTGCTGTATCTCGGGAGTCATCAGCAGTGTGTGGTGTACGGCTCCCTCATGACGACCGCGCTGGCTATAGCGGGGGGCATTCGATACTTTTTCGGCATCGCTCGCCCAATTGGTGAACTGAGCCGCCTCATCCAGGAGACTCAGCGTAGCTTTGCGACCGCGTGTGAGACTCAGATCACGCTGCAAAATTACAGCGCAGCCTCTAATTCTCTTCCCTCTATCAACCGAGGGCCTGTGCATGCTGACTTTATGGAGGATAGGCGCCGCATAGAGAAGGCACTGGGTGCAATGAAGCCCCACTCAAAGGTCACGCACCACCATGTTCAGGTGCAGCAGCGTGCTGTTCGAGACCTCTTAGCATCTATCCTCAAATGGCAGGACTTGGTCGTGGAGAAGTGTCGGAGACGCTCCGAAGAGGCGATGGGAACGTCTTTGCGGGACGAGCACGGCTACGGCGCGTCGTCACAGCGTAATGGCGGCAGTGGGAGGAACTCACCGCAAAAAATACGAAGCTTGCCGCCGGAACTATCAAAGGGAACTCTTGGTGCCATAGAAAGAAGAACCGCTGATGATCACGTGGCAGTGGCAATACCGAGAGCAAGCCAGCTGGAGCTTACGCAGTTTTCCCCGCTTCTGCCTGAGGGACATTCATTAGGGAAGAAGGAAGATGATTCAGACCCATGGGAGAATCAGGAAGGAAATGCAACGTCGCGTCGCAAGGAGACTCCGTCCTCCACTGCTGGCGTCTTTGTTGATGGTGAATACCCGCATCTGCGCAAAGGAGATCTTAAGCCACAGCTGCCCCAAGCAAGTGAATCGGGGACGAAGGAGAAAAGAGTTGTAGTAGCCAATAACACTTCCTCTGTTAGCAGCAGTTTTCTTGCCGTCGAGGAGACTCAGAAGGAGCGACGAACATTTAACCGGGACGCACCATTGGGCGGCTTCGGCACTGCGTTGACGATGCCACCATCGCAATCTGTTGGGTCTGTTTTTACAATGCCGGATAGCAATGCACAAGATCGTTCTGAGAATGGTGGGACCACGCCTCTTACACTCGTGCGGGGCAACCGTTGCGCAACAGACAACCATGAGGTGTTCTTCCACGTGACGGTCAGGCGCCCCGATGCTGTTGACACGACAATTGTTTTTGAGGCATTCGTTGATAGAGACGCCCTCCCTGAGTTTTGCAACAATGAGCAAACACCGCGCTTCGCACTGCGGCAAGCCTCGGGTCTTCCCGAGCTGGCACCGTTCGAGGGGCTTTCTATCACTGCAAAGGGTGAACGCACAACTCTCAACCCGGTGGAACGGGATCTTGTGGGATTCATCTCGTGTGAAGTGGAGCCTAACCCCGCGCCGCCCTTGTTGAGTGTGCAGGAGATGACGCCGCCTCCTCCCCAGGCGGAGGGGAAGGAGCAAACAGGCGCTGTAGAGGAGGGTCGTTGCGCGTTTGTTCTTTCGTGGGCTGTTCTTCCTGACTTGCCCATTCGACTGACGATGTTGCGAATCCGCTTGGAAGGTGTGGGGATGCGCACGGTGCCCGTGCTGGAGTGCCTGATTAACGATGTGTTCTCCATTCTGACTTCCGCTGTTGTGTGGGTGGAGCCTGCCAATGGCACCGCCAATAGTGGGCGGGCTGTATCGGTTAAACTAGAAGGTGTCTCTATCGAGAATTCGTCTGAGGATGAACGCAGTGAGGGGGACGCTTGCGATACTCGAAACGATGTATTGTTCGGGATGCCAGTGTCATCGACGATCATGCTGTAACCATTTGTGTAAGAATGTCTGTTTTACTACTCGTTTGTGGTGGTTCTTACGCAACGATGATCTGTATTTGTGCCTCGCCAAAGTTGAGGGTATTTGTGTACTGAATTTCGCTCTCACTGATAGCCGACGCACCGCTCAGCTGACTGTTTGGCTTGAATCACCTATATACATATATAATGCGTGTGTATGTGTATTTTTTTTTCGTTTTTGAATTATCCTTTACTATGTTAAACATCTCTTTAGATTAAACATCATTGAGGCGCCGTTATGAACACATACCAGGGCGTGTATCGTCCCGCTGCGGCCTTTGTCGTGCCGCTTTTGCTACTCGTGATGCTGTTTTCATCGCGTGTGGGTGGTGCTTCTTCTTTCAGGCCAACCAAAATGGACGAATCAACACCATTTCGTTGTATGCGTCCATTTGCGTCACTCCCACGCTTCTCTCCATCGGTCATGAATGCGGCGGAGAATTGCGAGTTTGGCCCTTTTGCTGTCATCAACGCATCGACCTCTGTACAGTGTGGCCTTGGCGAGACTGCTGGTGGAACCGCATCTCTAGGTGACAATGAAACCATGCTTCACGGCTGCAGTGTTGCAGTGCATGTCAAATTCCAGATGAAAGATGAGGTGAATCGCCCTGCTGCCTCTCAGCGTCTCGATGTGGTTGAGAATGACACATACCGTTTCTCCCTGCAGCTCCGCGCTTTTCGTGACAGTGTTGTGCATTATAAAGGGTTTGACCAGAACGGTTACAGCATGTGCTGCAATTTTATTCAAGGCGCGGAGTGCTCCTGGGAAGGACGGCAACAAGGTGAAGATGCACGGCTAAAGGAAGGGGCGGGGGGTGGCGTCTCAGGCATTTCCACACGAAAAGAGCCCAGGATTGTGTCGTGCCCACTTTATCACGGGGTGGCGCGAGGGAGCACCTTCCATGGCGTCGTAACGAAGCCGCTCCATCGCCTCGCCATCACGGAGTGGGAGGCCCGTTTGGAGTTTTGGCGTGGCGTGCAGCAGGACCGGGAGTTGTTGGGGCGGCTGCTGCTTCCCTTTCGTCTGACGGAGGATGACGTGTCGTCGCTCAATGACGCGGTAGCTGCAATATCTTTGACTGATGGCCATGCCAGTGGGGCACTGGTGGCGACTGAGAATAAGGAGGTGGAGGGGGCGCATGGGGATTTGTAGCCCCACGCTTCCTCCTTTGCGGGTGAGGCGTAGGCGGTGATGAGGTTTACTGTGCGCTCGGCATCCAGTGCCGCGAGACTACAAGGCAAAACCGAGGACACGAGGGGCGCAGCGGGGTGCGGATGTGGCGAAGCCGACACACACGAGTTGTGCCCAACCCTACCAGCGCACAGCTACGCATCCGCTGAGTATGCCCGGTGAACTCTCTGGTAGTTCGCGTTTCTCTTTCTCTCTCTCTCTCTCTCTNTTTTTTTTTTTTGTTCTTCTTGTCGTCTTCCTTTCTTTTCTGCGTTTAGAAGTTAGCCGTCCTTTCTTCAAAGGATAACTAGAAACAGCGAACGCTGTACCCTCTTGTTGTTTTCGTTTGGTTTCCCACACTTCTTAGACTACATCAGCTCCACCGTTTTATATCCTCAGCCTTAAACAGCGAGACACGTTGCTTCGGACATTCGGCATACATACGTGGACTCAAGACAGACAAACAAAAGGGTAGAAGAGGAATATTTGGAGGACGGGAAGAGGACTAGTCATAGCAGCCTTTCTATCTCTCTTTACCGTATCTTCAAAACTTACACTTGTACTGTAACCCCGTTTTTTTTTTTGGTTTCTTACGTTTGTTGGTTGCTCGTTCACGGCGCATTGGACTATGTGGCGACAGGACAGCACTGCAACAAACAGCACCTGCGGCAGCAAGTCATCGGCGTCGGCGCCTCTCAGCAGGCCCCCCACGTACCCAACATCGCCGCAGATGTGGATGAATCGGCCTACAGAAAAGGAGAATGTACACGAGTCGACTGTGCGGCACTTCTCCGCAGACGAGATGCGTGACGCCCCTGCCTTGGGCCACCGTGTGACGCGGAAAGAGGTCACATTCGCCGGAGCCTCGCAGGGAGCTCTGGAGGAACTTGAAGGCATCCTCACGTACATTGAGTGCGTAACGGCGTCACTGTCGCACCGCGCTCGTGTCCCGCTGCCGCCGGAGGGCGTTCGTGCTGTGCAGAGCTCTGTTGTGGCATCGCGCCGTGTGGTGAATACGACCCAGCGTGACTGTTCTTTGGATGGCTCGCTGGCTATGGGTCTCCACAACAGCTCGAATGCTTTGCTTGGCTGGCTCTCTAAGCTTGAGTACGTGTCCCTCTCACAAATTGTGACGCTGCAGGAAGTTGATAGAAATGTCAACATCACCGTGACAGACGTCCACGCAACACTGGACGCCATTGAACTGCGGTATCGCGACCATGAAGTAACCGATGTGGAGGAATTTTTCTTGGGCAGCCAGCAGACACTTGAGGAATGCCGTCGGGTTGTGCACAGCTTATTCGAAGTGGCACAGAAGATACTTGTTCTGCGCCGCGTTGTCGCCGAGAGGGATCTCACTCGTGCAAAAGAGATGCTTGATGAGCACCGGCAGAATCACCGTGCTGGTGGTGTCACACGTCTACACAGCCCCTTCTTTACATGGATGGAAAAGAAATGGTTTCCAGCAATGGAAGCATGGAATCAAATAGTATCGACTGTTTGTGAGCAGGCTGCGATGGGTGATGTTTCAGCGGCAGTTGCGCACGGGGAACAGGAATTGCTCTCCCAGAGCAGCATCATCAGTGAAATTCTGCAGTCCGGTGAGACTCTCTCAGAGCTTCTGCAGCAACAGCTGGAGAAGCCTCTTGCTGCTATTTCGGAGTCAACAAAGCTGAAGCGCGACCGCATCGATGCACTGCGCGCTGCAGTCGCTGCCCCAAAGCTAAATAATCTTGCTGAATGTGTTTGCGCCGTAGAGGAGCTTTCGTCAAACGGACAGCTGACGACGGCAGCAGAGCGGAACCTGCTTAAGGAGGGCAAGCGACTTATTATTCGTCTTCAGCAGGTAGAGAATGTAGAGGCGGCATTGCGCATGGCGGCTCAGGTGGGCGAGACGGTCACGCTTTTCCGCACCATACACCAAGCAAACGAGATTCTCCTCCAGTTTGGTATCGCTGGGGACACAGCGGTGAACAAGGAGGTTGTGGCACGCTGCAGCGCCCTTCTCTCAGAGATGATGGAAGTAAAGAACATGACACCCAGCGACTTCATCGCAAGGCGCGTCGATCCCACATCGATTAGCGTCATGCATGTGCCGTCGCAGGTGTGGACAACCGAGACAACCGCTGCGTATCAAGCGGCGTGTCAGACCTTCACAGCCCGTACCGCGCAGGACCTCGCCCGCCTTGATCTAGAGCGGGTTCTCGATGGCAACGATGTTGCGATGTTCAACCACACACTCAGCAGCGCGACTGACGACGCCAGCAACACGTCGTCGAACAATCAACCCATGCGGTTCACGCGGATGTGCAGCAGGTATCCGGCAATTGGGGCTGTACGGGTGCAGGAGCTGCGCGCCACGCTGAATCACGCCAAGGAGGTTGGTCTCAAGGGACAGGTGGTGCAGGATGGAGAGGCGTGTCTGCGCTCAGTGGAGGCGCTTAAGCTGAAGGTGCACTTCGAGGCGCAGCTGCGCGTACTGCGGGTGCCCGACCCAGATTGCATCACCTTTGATGATATCTACAAGAAGGTTTACGAGCTCTGCATGCAACAGGTCGGGAGTTTGCCGAGATCGGGCGGACAAAAACTGCGCATGCGCTACCAGGACAATGAGGGTGATTGCATTTCCCTCCTGACACAGGACGACTGGAATGCGTTTCTGGCCGAGGAGGCACCAACTGGCCTATGTGGCGCGAAACTGGAGTTGTACTGTGACTTTCCGCCGGTTCCCCATGCACATGTGGCGGATACTGTGGTGTCGACGCCACCCGAGCCCGAGGAGGTCATTGCCGCCCCAAAATTGACAGTGGCACCCGTGGAGCAAGCTGCCGGTGCCTCAAACACGTTTCTTCGCTCCTCACTACTTGCCCCTCTCCGTGGGAATGGTGCCGCAAAAGGCGTGCAGCCGAACCAGACGAAACTCGTTCGCTGTCGCAGTGCAGGTTTTGGTTTGCGTCAGGCGGGCTTGCTGACACGACACGTCACACCAAAGCGAACATCCCTTGATGATTCATGCCTGCAAAAGCCACCGCGGCTGCTGACCTCTGCTGCTGAACTGGAGAGCAAGTCAAAAGAGGTGCCGCGCGAGGCGAACCCCGCAGCGGCGCACGTCCACAGCAACCCGGCGGAGAATGCGCAGGGCAGCACAACGCCGGGGCGCCGTGGACGCTGCCGCGTGTCATCAGTCAGGTTGGGGGCTCCGTCGGCGAAGGCTGCCAAGCTGTTACCGTCGACTCACGGTGAAAAGCCAAAACGCAAGGCCAATCAAACTGCTGGTGGCACACCGGCAAAGGCTTCTACTACCACCACTGCGGCTACTACTGCTACTACTGCTACTACTACTACTACTACTACTACGACTACTACTGCTAATATCACCGCTACTAATACTGCTGCTGTTGCTGCCGCTACTACTGCCACCANAAAAGCCAAAACGCAAGGCCAATCAAACTGCTGGTGGCACACCGGCAAAGGCTTCTACTACCACCACTGCGGCTACTACTGCTACTACTACTACTACTACTACGACTACTACTGCTAATATCACCGCTACTAATACTGCTGCTGTTGCTGCCGCTACTACTGCCACCACCACCACTGCAGTACCTCCTCCTGCGGCAGCGGTGGAAGTGACATCAGCTAAGAAATGGAAGGACGATGACGCACAGTTGGAGTTGCTGACCGTTGCGTCAGTGGCATCCGTCGCGCCGCGAGTTGTTCACAACACCGGTGGCCTCAGCAAGGCCGCGACACCCACTGCCACAAGCACGAAGCAACCAACTTCTAGACGTCTCGGCGGTGGCTTCACTGTGACTTCGCATGCAAAGGCCAGCCCGGCCGCTGCAAAGACGACGCATGCGGCAAAATCCCCCGCCAAAGCCGTGGCGAAAGTTGGTGGCACCACTGTTTTGGAAGAGAAGCGTGAGTGGAGCGCTGACATGTTCATGTTGAGCGACATCTGCACGGTAGTGAGTGAAGTCACGACGCCGCCATCCTCAGTGAAAAACCGCTCAGCAAAGAAACAGCATCCGACAGCCGTAACACTCAATCTAAATTCCTCGGGGAATGCGACATCTCATGCAACATCAGGACTTGCAGCTGCAGCTCAATCCACTTCCGGTGCGAAAACAAAAGGTGAAGTACTGCAGCAGTTGCGTCAGCTGCGTGAGGAGAATCAGAAAGCGCTTAAAGCTGCTCTCCACCAACGGCGAACAGGTAAATGAATGAAGTTTTTTTTTTGTTTTTATCTGTTCACGTTTTTTTCTGTATGTGTCTGTTTTTTTTTTTTATCTTCTTGTCGTTCTTTTCATTCTGTGTGTTTTTTTTTTGTTCTGTTTCCGTCTTTGTCACCTCTTTATTCTCCACGCTTGAATTCTTCTTGCACGGAGGCAGGGAATGATGCCCCGCGCTGCTCTGTAAAGAAACCCAAAAGAGTGCTGTACAAGGTTTACTCTCACGCTCAGACACACTCCCGCTCTCTCTGTCTCTGTCTCTCTGTGTGTGTGTCTGTGTGTGTAGGGCCGCTGTATTTTTCGTCTTACTGTCGTTGTATTCCTGTGTGGTGCCAGCTACCAGGCAGATCGGGGGCGTCGATGCGGAGAAGTGAACTGGAGGTGGAACAAGTGCCTGACCAAAAGCAACGCGCAGAAAGACTCACAGATACTGAATACCATGCTGCGTCCTTCTCTGTCACTATTCTTGTCTTCTTTTCGTTTTCTCGTTTCTGTTTTTGGATTTTTGCGCTCGTCTTGGTGGCTTTCTTGACAATATCCGGCCCCTCCTGCGTGGTAGGTGCGTTGCTTAGTACGCAGTCAACAAGTGTTTGCGCGGCGGCGGCAGAGGCAACAATGTCTTGCCTGACACCTGACGCTACTGAGGCGATCCGCCAGGTGCGCGAGATGCGCATAACGGACGAATCAACAGTGCGCCTGCTGGAGCACCTGTTCAGCTGCCCCCCCAGCAGCGAGTTAGTGCATTCGCTCCTCGACGGAAAGGAGCGGGTAGTCGCTGTGGCGCTCTTCAAGGCTGTGCGTGGTGCCCACGCGGTGAACATTCTCGGCTTTCTGCTGCGCTTCTTCGCCGACCTCGTGCTGTCATCGAACGCGCTGGGTGAGCAGCTCGGGGTGCTGTCGCCCGACGTGCTGGGCGACGACGCCGCAAAGTCGTTGCTGTACATCGTGACCACGCACGGCGAGGACCGCGGCGTCGTTGACCCCGCGCTCTTCCTCGCCGCGACGGCGCTGCGCCACGGCCCACCGGAGCGCAACGAGGAGGCCCTGCAGCGCTTCTTCGCGTATGTGAAGGACGCACTATCGGCGGAGACGCTGCAGGTGCCGTCGGTGTCGTTTGCGGTGCAGGGCTGCGCGATCGTGGCCCGTCGGAAGGCGTTGCGTTGCTACTTTTTCGAGCACCACATGGTGGAGTTCCTGCCGCGCCTGCTGTTCGACATCGTCGCCAACGACTCGGCAAGCATCATACAACTTATATACCAAACGCTGCTGGTGTCGTGGCTGCTCTCCTACGAGTACCTTGGCGTGGTGGAGCTGCAGCAGCACAGAATGATCCCACACCTGCACCGTGTGCTGCAGCGCCTGCAGAAGGAGAAGTGCATCCGCGTCGCGCTCATGACGCTGTGGAATATGGTGGAGGCGGAGCGCAACTACATTCACCACATAGCGAATCCTGCTGCGGCGGAATGGGTGAACAAGGATTTCTTTATTATAGGGCGCGCCAACGGTGGAAAGGGCCCGGCATTCATTGCGGAGATGGTGGGCATCGGCATGTTGAAGACACTCGCCCAACTGTCGCGCCGCAAATTCGGAGACGAGGACATCAGTACGCTCATTCACGACCTGCAGAACGTCCTGGAACAGAGCATGGAAAAGCTCACGAGCTTCTCGGAATATCGGGGCGAGGTACTTAGCGGTGCCCTTGAGTGGACGCCTGTGCACACCAGTGCTAAATTCTGGAAGGAAAACGTCATGCAGTTCGAGAGCAACAACTACGAAGTGCTAGCAGCGCTCGGCAACATCATCATGACGACGCGGCAGGACCTTACTCTGGCTGTAGCGTGCTACGACCTTGGCGAAGTCGTGCGCCACCACCCAACGGGGCGTGCCCTGCTGCTGCTGCCCCAACTAGAGGGCGTCAAGACCCGCGTCATGGCGCTGATGTCGCACGCCAACCCCGAGGTCGCCAAGAATGCGCTCCTAGCAGTTCAAAAGATTATGGTGCAGCGGTGGGAGTACATACAGCAGCAGCAGTAGCAGATGCATGGCAAGAAGAACGCTTCCTGTTATGATTTGTCTAGCCTTGTTGGTCGTAAAGAAAGGAAATGAAAAGACAGAAAAGAAACGGAAAAGGAAGGAGGACCCAACAATGACAAACAACAACCCCAAAAACAAAACAAAAAAAAAAAAGAATGAGCACTCCTTCCAAATGTTAGTAAATTGAACGTGGTGAACCACACCACCAACAATCTACATGACGGTGGGCTCCCCCAAGGAAACACACTTAGAGAGCAGCAAGCATACTCTTCGCCTCTTCCCATTCGTCGTCTTTGTTTATTCACTAAATCATTAAATTATTCTGAAACGCAAGTATTTACTGAAAGAATGCGCCGTCTGTTGTGCCTCACGGCGCTGCTCCTCTGCTGCGCCGGCGGCTCCCTCGCCATGACGGAGCGCCACCACTGCATATTCGACTATGTCCCGGCTCTGTTCAGNGTGCGGTCGGCTGCTTTCGTGGCGGACAGTACTGAAGCCGCCAGTGTGGAGTCGTTGGACAACCAGTACAAGACCGAGGAGCTTGGTGCTTCCGAACATGCCTCCAGTGTGCCGGATGCACGTGCGTTGACCGTCACGGATTTACCCAACAACAATGAGTGGAGCGCTATCCGCATCAACGTGACGACGAAGGATCTGGATGAGGATGGCCGGCACTGCACTAAGGCGGGGACAACGATCACGACCTTCGGTGGAAGGACGTGGGACTGCACGGAGAAGGATGTTCTCACGGAGAAGAAGAAGAATGTCCTGGTTAAGAGTATTCTCCCCGCTGCTGTCAAGCTGCACACCGAGCGCCTGTTTGTGAGGCGCAGAAGTGGATCCTTGGTTGTTCCGGCGTTCAGCAATGTGACGGTCTGCGGCCAGTTTAAAGTGCCGGGTGAACACAGAAGTGACGCTGGTGTGCCCGAGGCTGACATTGTGCTGTACGCCTCTGCTGCACCGACGTTGACCTCTGCCTTTGCGTGGTCGGCTGTTTGCGCGGTCGACACCGATGGGCGTCCGGTGGTTGGCGTGGTCAACTTCAACCCGCGGCACATCCCGGAGGACGGTGCGACACCTCAGGCCATTCGGGTTGCTGCGCACGAGATGGCGCACACGCTTGGGTTCAACCTGCAGAACCTCAAGGGTGAGAAACTGAAGGTGGAGAAGAGAACTGTGCGCAATAAATCGATGCATTTCGTGACGTCCAACAACACGCGTGCCATGGCGGCGCGGCACTACGGCTGCGGAAGTATCTTTGGCATGGAGCTGGAGGACGAGATGACGTGGACGCCGACTCCTGCGGAAGAATCACTCTTGATGCGTTCGAAGATGCCACATGGGTCGTACAGAGAATCTTCGAAGAATGATATGGCCAAGGCGTCGTACTCTCACGAGGACATCAGAGTGGATGCGGCCGGCCGCGCTGAGGCGTATGACTGGGATATGCCTGCGAGGCTGGGCTACAACTCGCACTGGAAGCGTCGCAACGCGAAGGACGAGCTGATGGCCGGCCATGTCGGTGCCGGCTACTACACGGCGATGACGATGTCTGTGTTCGTGGAGCTCGGCTACTATCGCGCCAATTGGAGCAAGGCGGAGCCGATGCGGTGGGGCAACAAGGCGGGGTGCGAGCTGTTGGAGAAGAAGTGCGTCGATAATGGGCACACTGATTACCCTGGCATGTTCTGCACCGAGGCCTCCGCGACGCCGAAGTGCACGAGCGACTTTCAGGCGTTGGGTGTGTGTGCCATTGAGGGGAACAATGGGAATATTCCCCTGCGGTTTCAGCACTTCAACGGTTATGTCACGGGGGGCGGTCATAAAGCTGATCTGACGGAGTACTGCCCTGTCATTGCGGCCGGTGCAGGCACTGGGTGTATGAGCGGCAACGCGAGCACGATGCTGGGGAGCATTGTTGGCCCATCGTCGCGGTGCGTGAGGGGGAATGACCTGAAGGTTGGCGCCCAGGAAGTTGGGGACGTGTGCGTGGAGATGGCATGCGAGTACGGCTCCGTGTACGTCCGCTACGCTGGTGCCCCCACGTACTACTTGTGCCCGCAGGGGAAGTTCCTGAAGGTGCGGGGCGACTTTGCTGCGGGTGGCAGCATCGCCTGCCCGCGGTACGACGACGTGTGCACCACCATGCTTCCGCTGGAGGGGGGACACAGCGATCTCAACGCGCCACCGTCGCTGTCCGCAATGGACATGTCCGCGACCTTGATCAATATGGCCGTCGAAAGGTACTACGAGGACTCGGTCACCGCCACGGGCCCTGTTGAAGTGGGACGTGACGGCATACGTGGCGTGAAGGGCATTTCTACGCCAGCTGCCGGCAATGGCGGCGTGGCAGGGGGAGCACATGGTGTCGCTGTGGCGACGGGGAAAATGGGACCTGCTGCGAGGAGGGCTGGTGGCCTGGACGGTGCTGTGACGCACGCCACCACTGGCACAGCGAGTGATGCCAGTGTCAGTGGTGCTGTGGAGGGTCCGGGCTCCAGTAGTGAGCGCAAGAAGCTCGTCGCAGCCCGCGGCAATAACATCCTGCTTGGCCCGAACGCCGACGGCAGCGTTGCTGCTGCTGTATTTGCGTCGCTCCTGTTCGTTTTCGTTGCCGCTTCGGTGGTGGTGGCGCCCTGAGCCGCTGGCGGGCAGACCATCTGCTCCCACCCCTTTTTCTTTCTTTCTTTCTGTGCTGCTTTCTAAACAGTCCCTTTGGGACAAGAAAATCGCTTCTTATATGTTTTTCTGCTTTTTTGTGCTCGTTGTTTCTGCCTGTGCCCGTGCTGTGTGCTGGTGTCGTCCGTGCACGTCCGCTTTCTTGTGGGGGTGCGCTGGAGGCCTTCCGCCGTCGCCGTGGCCGCTGGACATCTGTCGGTGCGGGCTGGGAACAATTGGAGTCCTGCTGGCGGCTGCTGGCACATTGCTTCTCTCTTTGGCGCCCCCCCCCCCTCTGTGGGCATGGACGCTTTGGAACACCGGGGGAAATGGACAGTTGTGGGCCTCTTTTCTTTTTCTTTCCTTCGTCTTGCCGCACGTGCTTCTGCTTCCCGCGGTGCCGTGAGGGGCAGCCGCTGGGGGTGTGCGCAAGTCTTTTTTTTTACTGGGTGTTGTTCTTTGGGGGTCAATGCGTGGCTGGCGCAGTGTGGAGGTTGCGGTGCCTGCCTCTCTGTGGTGCTGCACGGCGTTGCCTGACTCTCCCGTTGCCCTCTCTCTCTCTCTCTCTCTTTCTCTTGTGCCGGTGTTGTTTGCCGCCCTGATGGTAGGTAGACTGCGCGGTGGCCGGCGGTGCCACCCCTCCCTCCCCCGTGACCGCTGCGATGCGAACGGACAGCGAAAACACAGACGCTGTGCTTACCGCTCTCACCGCGCCTGCACCTGTGCTGTCCAAGATGCGGCGCCCTGCCGCTCCTCCGGCTTCCTCCTGCTGCTGCTGCTGCTGCTGCTCCGTGCGTGATGACCAGACGTGCAATTCCTGTGGTATCTGACTGCCTCTGAATGTGACACTGCGACGATGCCTTTGCGAAGGACACACTGATGCCGCGGCGCCCTGCCGCTCCTCTCCCCTCCCCTCCTCTCCCCCCCCNAATGTGACACTGCGACGATGCCTTTGCGAAGGACACACTGATGCCGCGGCGCCCTGCCGCTCCTCTCCCCTCCCCTCCTCTCCCCCCCCACCTCCTCTCTTCCCGTTGCGCACCTACGCGCTCGCACCCCATCGTGAGTTGTGCCTCGCTGTTGCTCCGTGGCATCTTCGCCGCTCCCTTTGGCTACGCACTGCAGCCGACGTGCTCTGACTTCCTTCTTTTCCCCTTTTGTCTCTCTCTTTCTTTTGTGCTGGTGTTGTTGGTGTGAAGTGAAGTCGATTGTGTTGGGTTCGCCATGACTGGTGTTGTGGAGAACGCGGATCCGCTCCCCACGACGGCCGGCGCCACACGATTGGTGATACGCGACATTGACGTGGAGAACTTCAAGTCGTACGCCGGGAGGCACCGCATTGGCCCCTTTCACAAGACGTTTACCGCCGTCATTGGTCCGAATGGTTCCGGTAAGTCGAACGTTATTGACGCTATGCTCTTTGTGTTCGGCAAGAATGCGAAGAAGATACGGCTGGAGAAGCTGTCAGAGTTGATTCACAGCTCTGCGGCCCACCCCGACTTGACGTACGCGTCCGTGACGGTCAACTTTGTGCGGCTGCGTGAGTCGGGCGACGAGCAGCGTAACCCCGACCAGCGGCAGGAGGTGCCAGGGAGCGTGCTGTCCATCAGGCGCGAGGTGCACAAGAGTGGCTCGTCGCAGTACTTCATCGGCGGCGCCAAATCGACACAGCGCGAGGTGGTAGAGACGCTTGTGGCGGAGGGCGTCGACCTCGAGCACAACCGGTTCCTTATCCTGCAGGGGGAGGTGGAGCAGATCGCCCTCATGAAACCAAAGGCGGAGCGGGATGGCGAGGAGGGCCTGCTCGAGTACCTGGATGACTTGATCGGCACCAACACCTTCGCCGAGCGCATCTCAGAGGCGACTAAGTGCTCGGAGACGGCGCAGGTCAGCCGTCTCGAGGCGCTTGACCGCGAGCGCAAGCTGCGTGCCGAGCGGGAGGCGGTCGACGACGCCAAGAACTCGGCCATTGCGTTCGTCACGAGGGACAACCACCTACAGAAGACGCTCATTGTGATGTGCCAGCTGCGCATGCAGTCGCTCGAAGAGAAACTTGCTGAGCCGCGGCGGCTCTTAATTGAAATCGATGAGCGCATCGGAAACATGAAGAAGGACGTAGAAGGCCGGGCGAAGGAAAAGGCAAAGGCAGACGAGGAGCTTCTAAAGCGTAAGAAGGAGCTTGCCGAGGGAACTAAGGAGCGGGATGCGGTGCGGGCAAAGAAGGAGGTAGCAGATGCCGAGGTGGAGCGCATTAAGTCCGGCGCTGATGAGCAGGCGAAGGCGAGGAAGAAGGCCCAGGATCAGATCAAGAAAGCCAAGGAGGAGATGCAGAAGGCGGAGCTGCAGCAGCAAGACGCTGATCGGGAGACTATTATTCACCAGCAAAACTTTGAGGAGGCCACACAACGGGTGGAGAAGCTGCAAAAGGAGTACGACAGCACTTCCGAGGGGCTTGTGGATGTCTTCAAGCCTCTTCGCCAAGAGCTTGAGAAGAAGAAAGCTGCCTTTGCCCCGTACGAAAAGACTGTTGTAGAGGCGACTGAGCAGCTTGACACGGCACGTAGCCGACTAGAGTCACTTGACATGGCGTCTGTAAAGATGCAGGATCAGCTACAGAAGATCGATGCTGCGACACAGCGCAATCAACAGCGTGCGGCCGACCTCAAGGAGTTGCTGCATGACGCTGACAAGGACCGATACAAGAATGATCTGCAGAGACTTCAGGACACACTGGCGGGTGCGGCGGAGCGGAAGCACAGCATCAACGGTGCCATACAGGAGATCAAGAATACCTACCGCGAGGGTGAGGCGGATGATCGTGCGATGGAATTTCTCCTCGCTCAGCGGTCGCTCAAGGGGTACTATGGTACGCTGCGTCAACTTGGTCGTATCGCCGATGAGTATGACATTGCAGCCGGCGTGGCGAGCAACGCTTGGGGGTTTCACGTTGTAGAGGACCGCGAGACGGCGACGGTGGCTCTGGAGCTGCTGCGCAAGAACAACATTGGCCGCGCCACCATGATGGTGCTGAAGGAGATCGAGCGCGAGTTGGGCGGCCGCGTTGACGCTAACTTCACGTCACCGAGCCCGAAGGCGAGACGCCTCTTCGATCTCATTTCGCCGACGAACGTGCGCTTCCGCATCGCCTTTTACCAGGCGGTGCGCGACACACTGGTGGTGCGGGACCTTGGCGAGGCGCGTGAGGTGGCGTTCGGTGGTCCGCAGCGTCACCGCGTCGTAACGCTGCGTGGTGAACTTGCGGAGCCCGGCGGCTCCATCACCGGCGGTGGCGGCGCCCCGCGCGGTGCCAAGCTCAAGGCGGCACGCTCGCCGCAGGACAAGGAGGCAGCGAAGGTGGCGCTGCAGCGGTTGCAGGCGGAGTTGGTGGAGGCGGTAGAGGAGGAGCGGGTGGCGCAGGAGCAGTTGCACCAGCTGCGGCAGAAGCAGCGCCATCTTGCGCCCGAGCAGGTCTCTAAGCTTCGCGTAGAGCTGCGCACCGTATCGGCAACACTAGAGGCAGACGCACAGCGCCGTGGCATTCTTCAGCAGGAGTTGGAGGAGCATGCGGCAGTGAGCCAGAGCAAACGTGAGGCACTCAAAGAGGACGTGGAGGATGCAGAGAAGAACCTTCAGGTGGCGCAGAAGGCGCGCATCCAGCACCACAGTGAGGTGGAGCGACTAGAGCAGGAGATTGACAACGTTGGTGGAGCCGGTTACAAGGCACTCTGCGTGGAGCTCAAGGCGCAACAGGAGCGCGTGGAGGCAGAGGAGAATGCCATTCGTGAGTGTCGCCGTCTATCCCAGCGTCTCCGTGCAACACAGCAACGCAAACAGCGCGATATTGCTGAGCACGAGGAGGAGTTGCAGCGCATCAATGAGGAGGCGGCGCGAGGGGCGGCGGGTGCACTTGCTGCTGCTATTGCGGCCTCCGAGGACTGGACAAAGCAGAACAACGGTGTAGAGGCAAAGTTAGCAAAGGCACAGTCCGCCGCAGAGGCGGCCAAGGCGGCAGTACCGGTGGCACATAAGGCGCTTGTCGAGGCGCAGAAGCAGCTTGACGATGAGGAACGCTTCCGGCAGGTTGAGGCGGCAAAAATGGCTGACGCACTTCAGGAGTTGGCGAAATTTGAGCAGAAGATTGACGGTTGCGAGGAAAAGATCCGCGAAAACGTCGAGCTATACGGCATGGAGACGCTGGAGCTCAACCCGCCGCACGGTGACGAG